CTCTGAATACGTTTATGAAAAATTTAGATGTGGTACCATTGTCTTACAAACCATTTATGCAGAAGACTCATTGTCAGAAATTTTCTGAAAAGAATATGAAATGAATATTGGGTTTCTCAAGCAAGCGTTGTCTATCTAGGGGATTTTCTTTATAGAATTTTTGACTGGCTGAATGGATAAAACAACTGCAGAAGAATTAGACTTGTCAGGTAAGCGTATAAATTATTTTGCACAGAAAGAGGCTCCACACTTGATTACACACAAGTTATTTCGGGACTTGCATATTATGGTATATCTGTATTCATATAATTCCTTTTAAAAACAAAGGGCCTTTAAAGTAACGATGCGTGTTTGCATTTCCGGAAAATTTCTTTTGGCTTAATCCATGTTAATATGTACTCCGATTGATCACATATAACAGTTAAGAAAATCAAATCAAAATACCAACTCTAGATAATCTACCAGCTTGAACTCAATCGGATTTAAAAGACCAATCAATTATCATGTTTACGGCAAATAAAGATGGATGGATGGAATTTCAATTCTTCATATCCATGTAAATTCTGAACGGAATTGAACCATTTTTGGACTGATTTTCACATTAGAGATTCCACCTTATCAATATTTTAGTTTGCAAGAGATTCTATAGCGCTACCATTACGCATAGTGTCTAACTCAGTGAGAACACCAGATAACCGAAAGATTCCATGAAATTGGACAGCCAGTTGTCGAATTCGCGTCAGATATTGATGATAAGCAATCCGTTTTAACAAAGAAATCAACACACCAAACTTCAACAAATCGACATGTCTAATTTTGGCCCCAATCAAAGATACATTAAAAACTTCTAAATTCATAGTAAGTGCAGGGCGACTGCACCACACACAAACAATTACACAAAACAAAATTACGGACAAGACACAATACACTGAAATCACAAACGCGCATAGGCTATCCGATTAAATGAATGGATCCGGGGTCTAGTCGTAAGCGTTTACTGCGCTGTACAATCCCGGGTCTGTAGTGGTACAGACTTCACTTAAACATTAAAACTAACAATAAGGAGGAATATATCCCAAAAACATTGTATAATACTAGTGCGAGTCATGATCTGCTATTTGCCACATGAAATATGAATGTAAGCACATTGAAGAAAAATTACCTAATACCTGTAGCATAACGGTGAAATTTATTAAAAGCCACGTATAACTAAATTGTATATGTTACGGTGAGAAACATAAGCGTTCAAAAATTGAGGTGTATTGACTACAAAGTCGGGAATTTAATGTCCTTATTACCACAAAGTAGAGGAAAAACCCTACTGAAGCAAACGGCGAAAATGTGAATTGTCTCGACGACGATCATTTGCTAAATGACGTGACGTTGAAGCCGGTAAGATGCCAAATGGATGTCATGAGTAAAATGTAATACAAAACAATAAAAAGGGCGATAATCCAGATAAGACAACGCCAAAAGGTTAATAAACTATCAAGTTAGTAACTAATCGGAATTATAGTTACTAATACATTATTTTGACACGTCGCTCCTATAATTAGCCTATGCCTGATGAGTAATAACAATTGGCGTTTCTAGGTGAATTCCATATTCGGAGTTTACTCGGGTCAAAGACGGAAGGGTTAGACAAATAGCTGATCTACTTGCTATAATAGTTCTAAAATATAGACTGAAAAATGAATATACTGAAAATGTCATTCCAATTATTCTGAGCAAAGTTATCGCCTTTGTAGTTTTGACAAGATGTATTTCATCTATAAAGATCATCATAGGATTTTCTATTCATAAAAAACAATTACATTTCCTATTGGTAAACCAGCTGGTGTTAATAATAGGTATTTGCGTATTGATTATTCATTTTCCGCTATAGGTATATGGATGTTAATAGAATAATAATAGTTATATATATATATATATATATATATATACCTGGGCGTATTTTTTTTTATACATATATATAAACTATTGCATTAACATCCAGATACCTATAGCGATAAGTAGACACTGCAAGAATTAACTTGTAAAAGCTACAAATTTAATCGATCGTAAAATCTAAAACCAGCGGCTGCCAGGCAGGATACGCCCACATTTTTGAGAGATGGATAGAGAACAAGCTAAAAAGAAAGTGATTTTTCCTTCAATCAAGGGCCATAATTAATGAAGTTACAATTCGATATGCGCAAATATCGAAAGGAACCAAGATCTTTGGGTTATAAACATGCATTTCAAGTTTCATCAAAATCGGATTAAAATTGTAACCTCCACAGGGTCCACAACCTTGATATACCATATTTTTACACCTTTCGCGATCAAGCGGCGGCCACTTTGTCCGGCAGTGTTGGTTTGATTTTCAGGAAATTTGAACTCAACCTTTATTATGGTGTTACGGTGATATATTCAAACGATTTTTAAAATCAGATAATAACTGTGACCTTCAGAGGGACCACAAGCTAAAAGGAGCGATTTTTCGTATAATCAGGGGCCATAATTCATGAAGTTACGATCCGATATGCGACAATATCGAAAGGAACCAAGATCTTTAGGTTACAAACATGCATTTCAAGTTTCATCAAAATCGAATTAAAATTGTGACCCATACAGGGTCCACAACCTTGACATATACCCTATGTTTACACTATTCGTGTACAAACGGCAGCCATTTTGTCCGGCAATTTTGGTCCGATTTTCCCCAAATTCGACCTAAACCTTCCTTAGGGTGTAACGGTGATATAATAAATCGGATAAAAATTATGACCTATATAAGGTCCACAAGCTAAAAACGCGATTTTTCGTATATTCAGGGGCCATAATTCAGGAAGTTACGATCTGATATGCGATAATATCGAAAGGAACCAAGATCTTTAGGTTATAAACATGCATTTCAAGTTTCATCAAAATCGAATTAAAATTGTGACCCATACAGGGTCCATAACCTTGATTTACCATATTTTTACACTATTCGCGTACAAACGGCAGCCATTTTGTCCAGCAATTTTGGTCCGATTTTCACGAAATTCGTACTCAACCTTCCTTAGGGTGTAACGGTGATATAATAATACATTTTTTTTAAAATCAGATAAAGATTTTGACCTCTATAGGGTCCACAAGCTAAAAACGTGATTTTTCATACAATCAGGGGCCATAATTCAGGAAGTTACGGTCCGATATGCACGAATATCGAAAGGAACTGAGCTCTTTGGGTTAAAAACTTACATGTCAAGTTTCAACAAAATCGAATTAAAATTGTGACCTCTAGGGTCCACAAGCTAAAAACGTGATTTTTCGTACAAACAGGGGCCATAATCCATGAAGTTTCGATCCGATACATGCCAATATCGAAAGCAGCCGAGATCTTTTGGGGATAAACCTATATTTCAAGTTTCGTCAAAATCGGACAAGAATTGTGACCTGTAGAGAGTCCACAAACAAATTGTGGACAGACGGACAGGGACGAGGGCAATATACGTCCACATGAAAATGTGGGCGTATACCGGGATGGAAAATTGTATGGTCGAATCATTTCAATATTATCCTTTACCTGACTATCAGAGAGAAATTAAAAGAATAACACCCTATTAATATCAAGTGTAATTTATGCACAGCACCATTTTTGAGATCATCAATGGTCGAATCACTTCAATAGTATCCTTTACCTGACTTCCAGAGTGAAATATAAAGTATAATACCCTATTAATGTCAAGTGTAATTTATACACAACACATTTACAGTTTGCCAGCTACTAACAATTCGTTGGGTAAGCGTGTAGTAGTTATAAGGAGAACCTGCTCAGACTGGATAGTAAATAGTGGTGTCATTCCCAAGGTACCGTTTTCGCATGCAAGTAAAAAAAAAACCCTTGATAGTTGGAACTCGAAATAAGAGTAGGCCGTAGCGCCGCTGTCCGGGGAAAATTTCCTTCATAGCACACAGTATGGCATATGCCCGTCTTCATTAGCCCATAATGAAAACATTTGTTGGAAAATAGATTGTGTATCATCAATAATAAAATGAAAAATATAAACATTTACCAAGAAGTGTTATCGGTGCCATATGTACATTAGGACAAGTAAGTGGTGAAGGCAGAGGAAAAATGAAATCTAACTATGCGATGGTATCGAAATGGATAATCTTTTTATACTCAACGTATCACATTATTAGGGTGACCAGTGCAGTAAAAATAATTTTCCCTACAGAAAGTTGGACTCGAAACGGCGAATGTGCACGCTTCAATGGCTTGCCTCGAAGTGATTTCTTGCTAACCACGCAGTATGATAAAAATCAGCGCTAGCGAGTCTATGACACTATAAATAGCACGTGCAATTCTCTACAAATCTATCAGCTATTACAGACGTAAACAATCTATTGTTGACGGTTCTGAATAGCAGTAATATTTAGCTTTTTGGTTATTACAGCAGCTTTAGAAATTACGTTTGTTTTCTTTTTAAATTGCTTTATCATTAACTGTATCGTTTTGGTTTAGGACAAATAATATCTCGAAAACACACAAGTTGGGCAATAACATGGTACTAGCAGTAGTTTCATTTTACTTTTACAATGTTCTTAAAACAATTGTTGAGTTACCTAACGTGCCTGTTTCTAAATTCAATTCCTTACTCCATCTTTTTGGCATTTGGTAATACAAACCCACCGGCTGGGAAGGTCACGAGTGGGTAGGTAGCGTTTTCTCTCGATACTGCCTTGCGGTGAATGTAGACAAAATTGTTACTTTTTACAAAGTACCCGGTATCTAATACAAAAGTAAGAGACATATTACTATGGAAATTTTCTGTTTTAAAAACTGATTGATATTAATTTCAATGAATTTGTATGAGTGTTCGCGCAATAAAATTTGTCAGTTATTTATATCTTGATGAACACCTGTTATAATCGATGAACCCGTTATATTTTTATGTTGTAATAACAATTTATAATTCAATTAAACCCCTGAATAGTTTTCATGCCTGATTCCGACTTGTCAGGACAGTTTTGCCTAGTCGTTCGGATGCGACGGGAATTCGACATCCATCTGTATATAGATTGGTTTACACGTAAAAAATAGGAAAGGTATTTCGCGCTTCGGTAATGCATTTACGTCGCTTTCCTGGAAAATATAGCTGGGGTTAATATTCAATCAACAGCAAGTAAGTCATTTTGGGAATAACATTATTATGACATAATCTTTATTTCAGAGTCTTTACATACGCCATGCAGTGTGCTGTGTTTCCCTTGTTAAATTTTACGTGCAAACCAACGTGCACACGGGGACTCGGCGTTTACGCGTCATCCAAACGACTTGATGCACTATTCCATCTGGAGGACAAAAACAACACTCTGGTGGTGCAGAGTGGAGGGCCTGGCAAGGAGCGGTGTCTAGTCGTTCCGATAGGAAGGAAAGCATAAGTCCCTTGTACAGATTGACGTGCACGTAAAAGAACCCTTGACATAATTTGAAATAAGAGTAGGTCGTAGTGTAGGTGCCCGGGCCAAATTTCCCTTATAACACTGTATGGCGTACGCCCATTCGGTGTGGAAAAGTATGACGTTAAACCCCTTTTCATTACACTTTTTACCGCCGGACGTTTCTTGCAAGAACTGGGCTTGGAAATCTCAAGGCTACTGCTCTAAACATATGGTGTTTCGAATGTGAAACATTTTAGTTCGGATACTCATTTCCTAAGCACCGATTTAAAAAGAAAAACAACAACAATTTTCAAGTAGATTAACCTTTCTCCACTTTATTTGCTACCTGTATGTTATTATAAAACCCCTAATGCGTTTCGAACATGATCCTTTAAACGACAGACATAAATATTAAATTTTCAAAAGATGTCACTCACTTTCATCGACCAGTATGTCTTGATAATAGTGACTATAAACACCTGTTGAATGCAGTAAATCATCCGTGATAAATGAATATACTACATCAAGACCTAAAGAACCTGTCTACATCACTGAACCATTGCAGGGCTTGCAGACAATTTATATTAGTATAAACTATACAACGCGCTATGACTGTGTAATTGACTTTTGACAAGGTGTATGTGGAATAGAACTATTAACAGATTCCAACTATAAGCAAACATAAGTTACACAGGTGGACATTTTAACAGGTAAATATATAAGAGGGGGAAACACAAACTGTGTTTAAAAGTGTGATTTGTTCTGAAAGAGCAAAACTAGATTTCAAACAAACCCTTGATTATTGGTAAGGGGAGATTAGATCTTATTGCGAATTTTCTCTCAGTTTTCAACTAGTGATTAATATATTGATTGGTTGAAATTTGAGGTTTGCGGATTTATTTTATTGCAATCAGTCGATGCAATTATAATTCAGTAAATGAGCATGTTTAAGTTCTGTTCTATGAACGTAATATCGGTAATTTAATGTGACATTGTCAAAAGCATTTATGTCGCCCTTGGCTTCTAATTCCAGTTGTGTCTTTGCGTCCCCGATCGTAATTCTACCGTGTTTTACACATGCCGTGCATCGTCTATTTCTGATTTACACCCTGCGCTTTTATTTTTGAAACCACTAAACATGTTTTACATTAAAGGAGCTAAATGGCTAATATTTGGGACCTATAGAAATTGACACAAACATTCATAATGTAATACGAATGTATATAAACTGATTTACATTCAATCGTTCTTCGAGTCCCTTGTTACAAATGGCGCTGGGACGCCTTCTGGTACACGATTTGTGTACAAATGGTAAAATGTTTATTTTGCCTCAAAAATTGGATATCAGAAGCCCATCTTTTCCTGGTAAGATCACAACAACAATGTTGATTTGAATAATTGACAAATAATTCGTATTTCCAATGACGAAGTCTGTGGATGATGCCGAGTTAGCTACTTTAATCGCTAAAATCAAATAGAAAAGGCCAGTATCTAGTCATTCGTAAGGGATGAAAAACCGTGCACGTAAAAGAACCCTTGACAGTTCGAATTCGGAAAGAGTAGACCGCAGTGTCGCTCTTTGGGAAAAATTACGATGGACATCGTGCACATTAATTAATTTGTATTTTTCCGTTGGGGATGAGGATCACACTGCACACGTAACCCTAGAAAAAATTAAATGCCCATCTCAAAGGACCCCAATAAGGTGTCAACAAGTTCCATTCTGTTTTAATTGTTCTTTAAGATATTCCCATGTCCGCTCAATGATTGTACCTACATATTTAATGCAATAAAATGTAGTTCCATGACACGTCAGGACCAACCTGGCTATATTTGCCAAATATCTTTCACGGACCGGCGTATCTGTGATTGCAATACTGTTGTTCATATTTGTTTTTTTGGGGTTTTTTTTGGGGGGGGGGGGGGACGTCTCTGTTGTGCCTTATTGTTGTGGTTGTTCTGTTTTTTTTTTAAATTTTATCTTCTCTTTTTTGTTGTTGCTTATTCCGTTGTGAGATTGTTTATGAATGAAGTCACCCGTTTATGCATAGAGCGGAGCTTTTACGTAAACAGTGTATTTGAGTCTGCGCCTCCAAAAATAGAGTACACGTTACCTGATTACGGCACAGGCAATTAACTGATCATAGTGAATGACAAAACCCTTCGAATGACACTATAAATGTCTTAAGTAAAAAGATGTCAAAATTAAACCTAATGTTAAGGTGAACTCGCCATATGACTGCATACCATGTCTCGTACACCATTATTGTTAGAAACTGTGCCTCACAGATCCAAACTTGCCAAGGTAAATGGAGACACTAACAGCCAATATTTTGATATTATAAAATACCTGTGTAAATGGAGAAAGTAATGTCTCATATTTTAATATTAAAAACTTGCCTGCGTAAATGGAGACACTAATATCCATTATTTTAATGTTAAACAGTATCATTTGAATGTCAACAAGTACTTGACGTAAACGCCATGCTTCATAGATCTAGTATTTAATCTGTATATTAAATATTAACCATGAATCATCTATCACTAGCTCCACATCTGAATAAAACAACTATTTTATATATTAACTATTCATTAACATCGTTTTGCTTGAAAGCTCTTCTGACAAAAGTCATGCTGTTACGGGCTGATGTCGAACTGGTATATAAGCTCATTGTAAAATCTATACAGAATAAAGGGGAAAAAATGAGTGGTGTTTAACGTCGCAATAAATAACACATTGGTCATATTGAGACTGGCATACAGTTATTAATTTTCTATGGTAAAGGGTACAATGACACAGCTGAGCATTTAACCCACACAGCGCCACTTCCACCTGCCATGAGGTTCTTTTACTTGTACACGAATAAAATTAATGTTGTTACGGTCTGGTGTCGAATTGGTGTATACGCCCATTGTAAAAACTATTCAGAAGAAAGGAAAAGAAATGGATCCGTAATTAATTTTCTATGGTAGGGTATGCAATGATACGGATGAGCGTTTAAACCTCACACCTTGATCAAGTTCCATTTGTCAAAGGTTCTTTTACCTCTACACGGGTAAACCATGATTTTAGTCCCATTCCAACGACTAAGCAACACTTTACTTTGTCAGCTTCACGTGTACTTCATTAGGCAAGTGGGAACATAGCTTAAAAAACTATTCATTATAAATGTAAGTAGTTAATTCACTGCCATGTTCGCCATAGAGTGGAACACAATTCAATGTATACTTGCTCATTATATACATACACTACTTATTTATTTATAATTTCTTGTAATGGGTATAATTTAGGAACAATGAGTGGGCAATAATCTCGGGATAGATTAAGATAATTAATGGATTTTTTTTGTGTGTCACAATTTTATTGATGTTGTCGTTGACGCTAAAAGTAAAGTTATGAAAATTATATTTGTTGTTGGCGTTACATGGTCGAACATTTACATCGAATCATGATATGGTAATAAAAATTGTGACAGGGGAGATCTAAAGCAGCTTTGGCAGCTAAATCTATTCGTTCCTTAATTGTCAGAATTGTGATATTGTTTTAATTTGATATAGCCGGGTTGGGGCTGACGTGTCATAAAAATGCATTTCATTCATGTATTTATTGCTGACAAGAAGAATTGTCCTCTTTGCCTGACATAGGGAGTTCAGCTAGTTCAATATATAATAACGACATAGGGAGTTCAGCTAGTTCAATATATAATAACTGAATATAACGAAATGAAATAAACTTAAATGTATTACGTTTCTGTACTAACCGGTCTAATGAAGACGGGCATACCCTATGGTAGATAACAAACCTTAATCTCTCAACCCTCCGTGTTTCGAGTTAAGAACTGAGGCCATGACCTATAACGTTGCAGCTGCCGGAGCGATTCACACCCGGCATTTTAAAACAAAATTGACAATAGTTTTAATCAAAACAACGATTGATTAGTGTTATTTATAATATTTCTACAACACCCAACTACAATTAAGCATATAATCCTACCTGAAACGGGTACAAATCGTCGTTTTTAAAATCGAGGCGTTAAGCCGTTACTAAGACCGCCATCTTTTTAAACGATACGCTGTCATCATGAAGGCGGAGCTAAATATAAGGCTTTTATAACAGCCAATCAAAAGGACAATCGAAAGCACAGTAACTATGAATGGATTTCGATGGCGGTGAAATGTCAGACAAAAACAACGCTTCATTAATTTAAACGTGAATATTTGGAGTTAGGCGACAGTTGTGCCACTACATTGGCCTCTGTAAGTTTAATTAATCATAATATCATAAACTTATCTATTTTAAAGATGTTACATGCATTAATAAAGAAATTGAGTTTGCCACTTGGAACTAAAGGCATCCAATCGTAGCTAAAAACAAACACATCAGTATATCTCAATGTTTTTAGCTACGTTCTCGTAACTAACCCTATGGGGAAGAATTGCTCTGACATCGGCGCTGCGATCTACTTATTTCGAATTCAAATATTTGTCGGAGAATGTTTAGAGGTTTGGTGGTGTGGAGGGATACGTCCACCTGACGCAAACTAGGTCATTTCGGAACTAACATATGGGCATTTTTTTATGTCACTAAATCAGAGAAACCCCACGAGGTTAGACAGGCGACCCTACTCCACATACAAGCGGGGAATCGAAACCCCGCAACTTGGCTCAGTGACAGACCTTCTGATCCATTCTGCCATCCAACACCCCTCCCAGGATATTTAATGCGTTGTCAGTGGTAAGCAGGGGGGTGTCGAACGACTATAAACTTTTCCTTGCGCCCAGACAAGGGAAATCCAGACTGGACGATTCCGAAAGTCACCCAACACGGGGATGGAAGCAAGTGAGCAAGTGTCATACTCAACCAACCACTGATTCTCCCATAACGATATAATGAGGTTACATTTAGAAGGACAAGAACACCTGACACGAAATTCGAGAGAGAGAGAGAGAGAAAATGGGGATTAACATCTACTCGACACAAACTAGGTCATTTATTTTTTTTAATTTCAATAATTTGCTTGCGCGTAGGGGTCTTTAGCAGTTGGATGATCCTTAGAAAACCCACGAGGTTTGACAAACGACCCTACTCCTTGTCACGTACAACCGGGGATTCGAAACCACGCCAGTTGACTCAATGACAGGCTTTATGATACAGCACGCACGTGCTAACCATTCGGCCATCCACCCCACCCCCCTAATTCGATAATGAGTGGGTGGAAAGGAGCAAAATGTCCCTCATAGTACAAATAACGACTTATGCCCTTCTTCAGAAATGTAGAACGTTAAACCTATATTAGCATATTTTATAGTTAGTTTATAGACAACTATTTTTTAGTTAATTATAAGTTTCTTCTCCAGGGTGTGATTTAAGACGTTGGCTCGCTAACCTGAAGGTCCCGTGTTCGATCCCTGTGTTGACCGAGAAAGTTCATCGGAAATTTCCGGCGTTGTTCCACCTTGTCGGTTGTACTCGACGGAGGGCGTAGCAAGGGTCAACGTATTGCGTTCGGATAGGATAAAAAAACAGGTCCCTTGTACACAGTTGGAATTTGATATAAGAGAAGAGTAGACCGTAGTGCCGCGGTCCGGGCAGAATTTCCCCCATAGCCCACTGTATGAAACGTGTCTTCATTAGCCCAGTCGGCGCAGAACAGTAACTAATAACAAATATTATTTCATGAATTCTGATTCCAGCTAACACTTCTGAAATCTAGAATGTGAGGTACGTGGAATAATTTCGCTCAGACCTATATAAACCCATTTAGCATTGGGCAGTAATGGTTATGGTGCACAGGACATGTTTCGTTTTAAACACTCTCATTTACCAGAGGATGTTTGTTTTAAGTCCGGTTTTGGCGTGGAGAGACTTATTCCATCTATATAAATTAAATCTTTATTCTCCAGGACGTAATAGCAGAATCGGGAGAAGTATAACATACGCAACTATGGCGGCAACAGACGCGGAAGTGACAATAACTGTAGAAAGTGCGAGTTTATTATCAGAAGAACAAACAAAGAAGAAGAAGAAGGTAGGAAAGGTTTATTTATTAATCCGCTATTTAGGAACAATTTGTGCTTGCCCAACCTCTACGAAAATACTCCACATGGCGAATGGTGCTAAAACCTATGAAAACAGTTTGTTGACAAGACACTGTATCGTTCTCCGCTTGTTCTACTTCTTTGGGGTCCCAAACTTACATACTCAAAATATACGGAAGGGTCTTCATAAAGGACTTATAAAAGACCCCATACCAGACGATCTAAAAACGATAATTAGATATTCAACACAGGGATGTATTTGCTGGTAATATGAGGGATCCGGTGGTTTCTTATACTAGTAAAAACTAGTGGGGCACCGTTGTGGCTTATGACGAGCTAGGTTTCTGCAGTAACACCTAAAATATCAATACATACACACAATTTAAATAAATTCATACTAGAAAATGATACTTGGAGTTGAAATAAACTAACCAAGGGGAATAACTCGCATGGGGTTCTGCAAGCTGTAGCACATTTCTACTAATTCGTTGGAAACTATGGTGTGCCAGAGAGAGAGAAAGAGAGAAATTGGAGTTTAACGTCCACTAGGGGTTTCATATCAGCAATCAACTCGGCGACAGTTGAATCGAATCGATGTTCAGATTTGGGTGATTGATCCAGAATCCCAAATAAACAAGGGAGTCGTGGTGGCTCAGTGTGTTGACCGCTGACTCACTAACCAGGCGGTCCGTGGTTCGATCCCGGTGTTGGGTCGAGAAAGTTCCCAGCGTGGTTTCGCTTTCTCAGTGGCACAGGACGAGGCCGGGCAACGATAACCTCTAGTAGACCGAGGTCCCGTGTAGACGTCGGTGTGTGCGTAAAAAAAAACCTTCACAGCTGGAATTCGATGTAAGAGTGTGTCGTAGAGACGTTGTCCGGGCAAAATTACCATCATAGCACTGCGCAGAAAAGTAGGACGTTAAAACCCCATTTCATTTTGAATAAACAAATACCGTGTCATTACCGCTAGGATAGAATTGATTTAGAAGAGGTTTTAATTGTTAACAAGATTGATATAGAACTTTATAAAATAATCCTGTGATTGTTTATCCAGTTTTAGACAAGACTTTAGTAGACTGGTTCAGGATGTTTCAACAATGTGGGATAAATTTTATCGTTTGATATCTTTAGTTTATATGGTGTGCTAGGATGTTAGAAACATTTCCTGATTTAAATTTAATAACAATTATATCTTAATAGTGTTTTAGACAACGATTAAAACAGAACACTTAGGTCACATAATCTAGCTTTCTATGTGCATTTCAACTGGCCAAAGGGCAAAATGGACGGCGGTGTGAAATCAATAGCAAGTAATATGAACTATATAGATGGGCATAGTTTACGTCAGGGTTGATCGATTTTAAAAAGATGTACCAATATTAGGAAAAATACTACTTTTTGTCAGTGTCGGATTTAAATGAAGAGGGACCCTAAGCTAGTCCACTTATGGGGCCCTCCCAATCCAGCACGACTAGGGAAAGGTGAGAAAGTGTGTTTTAAACATAATTGAGCAAAACGGAGGACCATGATGGATGTTAAAGACCGCAGTGCGTGTAAGAAAGACCTATGGCAGATTCTGCACATAGAGAACTATCTACTTTGAGAAAAGATTTCCGCCTCAAATGGCCACAATATTGAAAAATTAGTGTACATTTTGCAATGCGGTTCTAATAGACTAAATAAATGTTTTCAATTCCATTATAATGGAAGCGGAATAAACACTTCTTAATTATCTCGAAGAATACTTAATGTTTTGGACTAAAATCGTCGAATTAGGAATCACAATGTCGACCAACTAGCCTTGCGTCTGTTCTAAAGCGGAGCTAGACAGACAACCTAAGTTTCGTATGCTTATGGCAGTGTCAAACATAGCATACACATTGGCCTGGGAACACCTAATGTTGAGATCCTGGGCTTCAGCCTGTTAAGCCTATAGGTAAATTGTGTATGATATATATTTCCTTTATTCTGTAATATTGCGACTTGCGAGGGGTTAGTTTGATTACGGCAACACTGTTGTCGGGGATGTGTGGTTTATTAATTGTTTCGTTTGTTAAATCTTTCAATCATTGATTTATAATTATGGTCGCTATATAAAACAATGATATACATTGGCTGTTTTTTATATGAGAGAAGTTGTTTAAATAAATGATGGGGTAATCGTAAAACTCATTCAAGCGTAAGACGTCTTAATTATCAATGGCGAACCTATAATATGTCGAGAAATATCCGTTATGCGTAGACTGAAGTACAAAATAATCTATACAATTCTTTACGTGAGGAAAAAATTCATCCCTTCGGTATTTGTTTCTAATTTGTTTGAAAGGGTAATGTAGCTTCCACATAAATCCGGCGTAGGAAGCATTGTAAGGATTTGTCCATTTTCTAGCACTATATATGGTGGTATTTGACGTCCACCCGACACAAACTGGGACTAACATAATAATGTGGTAGAGAAAAATTCGCTTGTCAAGGTAATTCGACAGATGATGACATCGGTCCAATAAAGTAGTGTTGATGGAACTTTAAAACCTCTTAATACAGTGGGGGGGGGGGGGCTCGTATGGTCTAACTCGTGCGCTTTAGATGATGAGGCCTGCCATTGAGTGGGGCGATTTCGACCCCACATCTGACAAGGAGTATGGTCGCCAGTCTAACCCAGTGGGTTTTCTACGGATCATCTGGCTCCGGGTCATCTGGCTCCCTCCCGCTGCTGATTATTGGAATAAAATGAACCATATATTATGTTATTCCCGAATCTGGAAATTGAAACCACGCCAGTTAACTCAATCACCTTATGATCTAAAGCGCGCGCGTTACCCCCCCCCCCCCCCCATCTTAGTAACGGTATTTATCGAAACCCAACAAGCTGATTAGCTATATGTAAATCCCCGCACCCGGCGTAAAGGGGTAGATTAGTGGTCTTAAACAACGAATGTCATTTAAATGCAACTCTTCCAATAAGGCTTAGACATCGTTCACTGATAACGTCACTGACGTATGGTGAATAACTAACACCGCCGACTGAACAGTAGCCTTTCAGAATACATACAGTAGCGTAAAACGAATCTGAATCATAAAGGCATTACGAAGTCAAAATTATGGCATTAATTTTATGTATTAGTCAGGATCATCTTTAGGATTTTTTTTTAATATCATCGTACAAATACTACAAGATTTAAAAAAAAACATGTGAGCTAGCTTGTTTGTACTGACTGAATAATGCATGCGTTAATCTCCAGAGAGAATGGCGCATGTTCTAGCAATAATGTTGTTGAAAATAATATTTGACTCATGCAATAATAATAAGCCAGATACATACGGTAAATATCCTAAGATGCTAAAACAAAACTATAATAAATCGGACATCCCAATAATAGAGGGCGCTATTGCACTTTCGCACCTCTACCAGTTCCCGTGGTCGTAGAGACTTGAAATTTGCAGGGGATGTTAAGGGGGGGGGGGGGGGCTATCCATGATCTCACACCAAATTTCAGCCCAATCGATCAATAACTTTTTATTTTACCGACTTTTTATCTCCAGACGAGATACGATTTTATCCGTTCGACGCCATTTTCTTTGTTGACTATTTAGACTCGAATAACAAGACACTAAGACGGATTCCGACACATTGCGCTTCCTGCCTAACGTAATAATAATAATAATTTTCGTTTATTTTAATTTTTGCGCTAAGCCACCATTTTTTTTTAATAAACGACTATTTGGCGACGACTAGTTTGGTGTGAGATCATGACTAGCCCCCTTTAACATCCCCTGCAAATTTCAAGTCTCTACGACCACGGGAACTGGTAGAGGTGCGAAAGTGCAATAGCGCCTAAAAGAGAACATTCGCACGTGTACGAAAAGGGACACGAAAACTAAGGAACACGTCATCGATGCATGTGTACTTGTGACATCATCCCGTACAGAGAATGTTTACGTTGAATTCACGTAGGCTTGTATACGAAAATGTTTCTCGTGGCATGATTATATTGAATTCCCCATGTTAAAAATCGTTGGTCTATCACTTTAACCGGAAGTTATATTCGATCACCAAGACGCGACACCGATATCTCACTAGGTCCAGAAAGATTATTTATCTAATAGGATCGATTGTACTGACAAATTAATCAGACAAAGGGATTTATTAGTTCTTTGCTATTGTCAAAAAGGGCATGAAGGATATGATACACGAGTAGTAACCAGCTGGATTTTCTTCTTTTTTTATAGAAAATTCAGATAATATGTTAACATGATACTGAAAATTTGCAACTAGTCTAACTGGTGCTACATTATTAGAGTGCAGGAGGACGGCGCAACACAAACAAAACAAAGCCCATACGACAAGACGTACAGACATTGCAAGCAATAAATAACAAACGTAGATATCAGATAAAGTGAATGGGTCCGGGGCCCAGTCGTGTAGCAAAACGTGCCTTATCTTAATAAATTGTTACCTGTAGATGTGTAATTATTAAATCATTACAAAGCTGGTCAATCTCATTGACATTCTGAGTTCATATATTAAAGGAGCTAAATCGCTAATATTTGGGACCTGGAAATTGACTCAAATGGGTCGCAACGCATATAATAATGTATTATGAATGCATATAAACTGATTTACTTTATATCGTTCCTGTTTTACTGTAATTTCTAATCAGGTATATTCTGCGAAATCGAATCGCAATCTCTAGCCTCTGATTATTCCAGTCTACACCGATAGTATTTATTGCGCATGCTCTCCAGATAAGAATATGGTGGCATCGTTTGGCATGACTTGTGGAATATATCTAGCCTCGTTCTTCGACTCCCTTGTTACAAATGGCGCTGAAATGCATGTTACACGATTCGTGTACCAATGGTAAAATGTTTACTTTGTCTTAAATATTGGATATCAGAAGCCCACCTTTTCCCGGTAAGTTCACAACATCAATGTTGATTTAAATTGACAAATAATTCGCGTTTTCAATGTCGAAGACTTTGGAGCACA